TTGCATGTCCACCCCTCCCACCACTGCCTCTTATGGGTGGGTTGTGCCCTTGTAACAAGTTCTGCCCAAAGAGTTGGATGGGACCTTGTGTCATGCCTAGGCCAGAGCACTTCCTGCTGATCAGACAGCCTCCTGAGCTTTCTCTTCCTTCTGACACTGGTAATATCTGCGATAGTGATCATTTGAGTTTCTCCATCAATGTGGGTCTCTGAGTGATAATACTGACTAGAAGTCCCCAGCTCCTTTGCTTAAACATAGAATAAGAGATGAATCTTACATGTTTTAAGCCACTGAAATTTTAAGGTTGTCTCTTACCTTAGCAAAACTCTGCCTATTTTGACTGACATAAGAACTTGAAGATGAGAGGAAAAAAGATTTACATTAAGATCACCTAATATTAAAACACAAAATATAATATATAATTACTTATACTTGCTTAAGTCTTAGGATTCTGTCCTGAAACTGTGTCTATTTTCATTCTATTCAGTATTAAAAAATCGTTTCCATGTGGGTTTCTATATACCTGACAAGGTATATAAATTGTGCTATTCTATTATGTCAAACTCATGCTTTTATTCATTCCAATAATAGTTGAACAGTAAATATGTGTTACTCAGGACATCATTTCATTTCATATTGCATTTGAGAACTTTTTTGTGATGAAGATAGAAGAAAGAAGATGGAATGCATTTTACTATCTGAGGGAGGGAGATATTTAGGAAATGAATTTGAGCTGTGTAGCTATGAGTGTATGTGCATGTACGTGTGTATGTGGGTTATGGGTGTGTGTGTTTAACTTTCCATTTGCAAAGAAACTATCAGAGAAAATGGAAATGATTTCACATGAGTGATCAGAAATCCTCAACACCCTCCCCCCCATTATCATCTCCGGCTTTCTTACCTGCAAAACAGGGATGATTTTACAGATTTCCATGTGGAGCACAGGCGAGCATTCACCTTAGAGGTAGGATGACAAGGTTTCAGTTGCGGCTCCCTAACTGACTGGCGGTAGTAGAGTGCTAGAATTTTCAAAAGAGATTTAATACTGATTGTCTGCTTCATCAAAAAGGGCAGTAAAACTGTTGGCACTAAAGCCACCACTCAGTGGTGTCCTGTTTCCCCCCAAGACCTCTGTGGAGAGGGAAAGAGAATGAAGCTGGAGAAGGAATAATTAATGGTCCTGCTGTCATACACTAAGCCTTTCTTGGTTTTCCTACCCATCTAGGTTTGTATGTGAAAGAGAAAAGCTTGACTGACAGGCAGAATTATCAAAGTGATGTAAAGCTTTCAGACTCAGTTTCTCTTTCCATAAAATGGGATAATAATGTCTACCTCATTGGGATTATCATGAATATTACATCAAATAACCAAACAAAGGACCAGGAAAGAAGCAAAATTTCAATTAATGCCAGCTGTTAAAAGCATAATAATAATTAGCATTACAGTTATTTATAAGAAAACCATTTCCCTGTGAATGCTAACAGTATGGAGAGTAATTCTTTCAGCTGTTATCACAAGGTATATAAATTGGTTTTATGATCTGAGTTTTAGACTTGCTAATATAGTACCAAGAAGATATAATGGACAAAGCAGAGCATGCCTGCATTTCTCTTCTATGAGAATAGGAGTGCTGGACGGCAAGTTAGGGAAAAAATGTTTAAAGTTAGAGAAATACTTGCACCAGAAAACAAGAACATGGACTGGGCGCAGTGGCTCAGGCCTGTAATCCTAGCACTCTGGGAGGCTTAGGTGGAAGAACTGATTGAGCTCAGGAGTTTGAGATCAGCCTGAGCAAGAGTGAGACCCCATCTCTATAAAAACTAGAAAAATTAGCTGGGTGTGGTGATGGGTGCCTTTAGTCTTTCTCAGCTACTCCAGAGGCTGAGGCAAGAGAATTGCTTGAGCCCAAGAGTTTGAGGTTGCTGTGAGCTATGATGATGTCCCCACACTCTAGCTGGGACAACAGGGTGAGACTCTGTCTCAAAAAGAAAAAAGATAACATGAGATAGAGCATGGTATGCATAGTGGTTAAAGCACTACCTCCATGTGTGGCCTTATTTAATTTCTCTGTGCCTCAGTTTCTCCCCCTGGAAAAAATGAAGACAGTAAAACTGAACAGGATGGTTATGAAGACTGAAGGAGCTAAGATTTGTAAACAGCTAAGAAGAAATATAGTCAGTGCAATTTAAATATCTGGTCAATAAACCAGAGGGGCAACAAAAGGGGGTGAAGTTACACAGAATGGCCTGTTAGGAACTCTTTGGAGCAGAGACTAGCAAAGTGGCCTTCTAAGGACACAAACTGGAAAGCTACCAGGTTCACCCATTCATTCAACGCTTGCCTGCCTCCTCTGGGCAAGGTGCAGTGCTGTGGCCACTACAGTTGATTTATATTTGGAATGACAAAGATGGACCACTGGCTACAGCAGAAAGAAGCCCCGGCTGTGACTGGAGTGACAGCAGGTACACAGATAACTCGCCATCCCTTCCTGTGGGCTTCTATAGCACTTTCCAAATATTTCATGGCATCCTAGTTAGTCACCTGATGATCACACACGTATCTCCCCAGGCCAGAGCTCCCTGCAGGGAGCCTGCAGCCGGCTCACCGGAATCCCCTTTCCCGGTGCTCAGTGAGTCTGCCTTGAGTCAAGCCAAAGTGTGCGGGAGACCAGACCTGTGACTGGTGGGCCTGAGGCACAACCACTCTCAACAGCTCCAGGGGCACACGTGGGAGGGCAGAGCTGTGGGCCCAGGATGTGACCCTGTGAGTAAAGACCTAGTCTTCTTCGTAGTGCTGGCTTCAAATCACCCAATAGTAAAAGTAGCTCAGAAGCCTTCCACTGAAGGATTTCCTCCAGACTCTTTTCTCAGTTCATCCACAAACACCTCGAAGCTGGCACAAACAAAACTCAACTCACCAGCTTTGCAAATGAGCTGACTTTTCCTTTCCTTCTCTCTCTGTAGCCATCCATCTACCAAGTTCTTTTCTGTGTTTTCCTCAGGAACATCCGTCTCATACAGCCCTTTCTCTCACTAACTCCTCTGTTGCCGCTTCACAGAAATCACACTTGGATTACCACCATTGGCTCCTGCAGAGACTCTGTCTACATATCACTGCAAGCTACGTGGTACAGTTTCCTAAAAACAAGTTTCGCCACATTTCTTCCCTGCTCAGGATCTAGGCTCCCTGCCCCTCACTTTTACCTAATACACTTTGGTTATCAAGACCCCATATTCTGGCCCTTCCCTACCTGTGTAACGTACAAATTAAGGTCTCCATGTACAATCTTGCTCTATTTAGGCTAGTGACCTCACAGCACTGATCACTGAAGTTTTTCTCTCATTTAAACAGTTTCTAAACCGTTTGCTTCTATGTGTTCTGCCCATGTTATTTCCCCTTTTGGAATAACTTGATCCTCCTTTTCGGGCTATTCAAGTACTAGCCTTTCAATTAGCACTCCAAGCCACCTGTGTCAAGACTAACAAGTAACTTTGTATTTCACTCGTTTCCTATACAAATGCACAAGTGTTCCTTCCTCAATAAAACTGAATTCCTTGAGGGAAGGGAGTTGTTATTTTTACTCATTATCTAGTAAGTGTTCACTGGCTCCATCCAGCATTGTGTGAGGTATTGTCCCGGGCTTTGGGCACAGCAATGAACAAGACTGACTCAGTCCCTGTCTTCACCGCACCCACATTTGTGCATGTAAGTGCATGTGTAGATATGTGAGATGACCAATTTATACATATATAGTGTGAAATGGAGAATAAGCACCATGAAGACAAAGTACGGGGCATTGACAGGCTACAACAAAGCTTCGTATCGAAAGAAAATGTCCCTAAACTAAAATCAAAAGGATAAAATAGAAATTAACAGGCAAATCTCTAAAGCAGGGGTCCTCAAACTTTTTAAACAGGGGGCCAGTTCACTGTCCCTCAGACTGTTGGAGGGTCAGACTGCGGGCCCTGGGACGAGTTGGCTGCTAAGCAGGACAGGCAGCGGTGGCAAAAACACCTGGCGGGCCGGATAAATGTCCTAGGCGGGCCACATGTGGCCCACGGGCAGTAGTTTGAGGACGCCTGGTAAAGGTCCAAAGAAGCCTGGTGCCTTAGAGGAATAAGGAAGAGGTCAGTACCCAGAGCTGCAGAGGGCAGGAGAGACACATGCAGTGAGGCTGCTGACTTGGTGTGGATGCGGGTTGGACGCAGTTCCTGACACTGCGAGAATCAGGTGGTGACTGCTGAGTGACAGTAAGCTGATAGGAGGGCCTTAGGAGTCAGAGTACACAGTAGCAAAGGCCATTTTTGAAATTTTGTTGCCGGTGTATTTGGTTTTCAGACAATGCTGAATACCCAAACTTAAAAAACACAAACACTTCAGTACTTATGAAAGCTAGGAGAATGCTCATTTTACTGACCCAAACATGACCAGGGACGGCAAAGATTAAAGGGCTCCACATGGCGTTAAGAATGAGAGGATCTGCTGCTATCAGTCCCCAATTTTTTTCTTTCTTAAGTTCAATAAAGAAGGCATAGACCAATGACAACTATGATATGGACTGTGGTCCATTCCACATTATAAGCTAGATGCCAAAATGCTTTACACAGGCCACCTAACAGATGGTAATGTATTTCAGACATTACCAATGTGAGCAGGATTCAAACCAGTGACCCAGAGGTGAGAGGTTGTATATCCAATTACAAATTCCCACTTTCTTTAAGTGTTAAGATGCCTAAAGCAATATATTTTATTTACATCAAGATGCATTGTATAAACTATATTTGATAAAAGAGATGACTTCACGTTCTCAACTTAAATCAAAGAATGCTTACTTAAGTATTTTTTTAATTGAATCAGACTTTAATGTCATCGTATAATCTTTTGGTTAACAGTGCTCATCTTGATTATTCCAACAAAAGGAAAACATGGAAATTAATTCTTAAGTTGTAGAGCTTATGTCATCTATAAAAATACAAATTTAGAAAATTCAAAAGAGGTACCTGGGACATCAGTGAAGGTTTCTCCAAGGACAGAGACGTGAAAATTGAGCTCTAAGTCCTTAAGATGCATTAATACCTTAAAAAAACTTTCTGGATCTTTATCATGCTCCCTGGAAATAAACACACAAAATATAATTTGTATTACCTTAGGATATGTGTTAGGACAAGTGATTTCACTTCTCACAGCATCAAACCTTTCTGTGGTTTGCTGAGGGATATAGGAACCTCTGGCATCCAGAGATTTCCCCTTTTGACCTTATTGTAGTATTAACAGTGATTGTTTTCATGCCTACAAACTTCTCTGTTAGGATCAAAACCCAGTTTTACTGAACTTGTAAGGCTTTGCCAGCCTTTTGTGCAAGGAGAAATCTGCCTTGTTTTTCACATCTTAAGGTTAGTCTAGAGAATATATAGTGTATTTTCCTTTTTCCTAAAAATGGTTAATTTTCTACTTAACAATTGTTTTTTTTTTAAGATAAGACCAATCTTCAAAGGATGATTCTCCACTGAGCAGGTGAATGCACCAAAGATGCTTTTCACTTCTATGGGTCTGAATATCTTCCTCTTGCATTTCCTGAGCCCCTTTGTGCCCTTACAAGGCACACACAATTTAGGGAGTGAGATTAGAGACCCTTTCACTAATCTCTCATTTTAAATAATTAAGTGGAGAATTATAAATACATCAAAAGGGGATAGGGCTGGGTCTATGTCTGCTGAGTATTAACTTAGGAGTGGAGTTATGCAACACATAAAAGAGTGATAAGAAAGATAATTCTTTCATTTAGTAGAGTGTTCAAAACACATGGATTATTTTGTGTTTGTTCAGCTTGTCAGTCTTCTTTGTAAATCACAGAATGAAAGGCTAAAGGACATTAAAATTAAAGAAAAATCTCCAACAAATCACATTAAAATGAAATGAGGGTTTTTTTTTTTTTTACATCCTAAGGTGTGAATATTTCAGTATTTCTTGCATTTAATTACACTGTTTTAAATTATCTTATTTCAGACAGATGTGGACCAGATGTCTTCAAAATATTTGTTTATTTATAATTCAGAATTTTAACTTCTTTTTATATTATGGAAAAATAGTTATATATCAGCAATTGAATTTGTCATTTACTAACTAATTATGTAAAATAAATCTGTAAATTGATCAAACTGCTATATGAAATATGAAAATGACATCATTCAGGAAATCTCATGAAAAATGACATCTGCAACCCTAAATGTGTTAATTCACAATTCAGTCAATATTTTCAGTATCACGAATTAAAACAAATGCATTTTCTAATTAACATTTTAAAACAGCATTTACAATCTTTTGAAATTGTAAGATCCTCTAGAATTAAGATTCTATAACCATTTATGTTAAGGTCTAGATCGCTCAGTTTGATTTATTTCAAATAATGAAGAATGCATTGGCAAAACGTTCATCACTTTTTAACATGATGCATATTACAGACATGTGCCATTGGGAAGTTTTTGGTTAGTTCTTATACACACTACTACTGTGGGCAAGAACAAAGACTCAAAACAGTTTGAAAGTAAAGAATATACCATCTGCTTATCTTCAACCATATCAATCAAATAGCTGCCACCTAATCTGTAAAACGTTCTTTTAGTCTGATTCTCTTGGAAATACTAAGATGAAAAGAAGGGAAACAATATAACATAATACATCTTTAACAGTGAGTAACTAACACTGCAGGGAAATCTAGCCATTCAGTGCTGTAAATTTTTCATTTTGAGTTCCAAAATTTTGGCTATGACTATCCAAGAGATCTTCTATTCTAAATATTTCCTGCTTTTTTCTTTTTTAAAGTATTAAAGTAAAAGTAGATGAGATTTCGGGTTGGGAGGAGGTTTAATTGGGCAGAGGGTGTAGTTCTTAGAAGATTCCAGTGTGAATTATTTTCAAAGTGGCAGGCTTTATAAACTTCTATTTTCAGTGTTTCTATATAAGATGAAATGCATTACAATCCTGCTGTATTCTTTAGATATTTCCTGTAGGTGAACAAAAGCCTTCATATTCAATACTTTGCATAAGAACACAAAGAGATTTGTGTGAATTCCCCCTCTTTTTGTTTAAACCGTAACATATGGCAGAATGTAAGGTGAGATTTTTCCTTCCCAAAATTATCCCTTAGAAAAAGAAGCATTTTAAACTAACGTCCTTATAAAGTCTCTCATAATACCAGGCACTCTCTCAATTACTTTATTTTGAACAAAGTACTGTTTAGGTAACATGCATTAGCTGGAAGCAACGTTAAGTGATGAGAGTTTCGGCTGGTTTTAGCAGTCATTCACTGGATAGCGCTGGTAAAAACAGAAGCAAAGGAATTTAATACTGAGTAGGTAATTATTTTGGGAGACATGACCTAACAATTCTAAGTGCTGGATGTTGTTGAAAACAAGTATTTTAAAGATCACTAAAAAAAGTAATAGGGTAAGTGGTTACTGGAGATCATAAGTAGTAAGTGGGTTTTTATAGCTGGGGAAAAGATTTCCAGTTATGGCATCATACACAGTTTCACAAAGTCCTGCACACCAGACCACTCAGACTGAATTCCAGATGACAGGTGGTGAAAGCAGGCCAGCTGCTTGAAAAGGTGGCACCGCTCTGAAGTCAAGAATGTACGGGAGAGGGAGTTGGATCCAAACTGCTGATGAAATATAAGGGTGGGGAAAGAGCAATATTTCTAAAAATGTCCCTCATGATATGTGTTTTAAAGTATTACTTACATCTAAATTAGTAGATTGCATATAAGTATATATATATACACATGGTTACTTTATCTATGTCACTCAAAGTTTAATATAGTCAATTTAGCTGAAAAATTGTCTTGTGCTTTCTTTTCAGAAAAATGGGAAACTGCCTTACATTCAATCATTAAAGATGTGTATAATATTTGGCCACAGCCATATATCAAGGCATAGATGATATTCAATGGCAGAGCTCAATATATTTTGCTGAGTGAGGAACTCATTCTAGGTACCCAATGATTCATCTGTGGATTTTACTCCAGCATTCATGATATTAATAAACCCATTTGGTATAATATGTGCATCTGTCTTAAATTCTTTTCTAAGAAATCTAATGCGAAACTCTCACATGTATGATTTTATCATAAAGCATTAAATACGCAGGATGGGGGATTTAAAGATAATATACTAAGGGCCCTTTTCTGCTAATAGCTATCAAGTTTAAACATACATTTAATAATATGCTCAATTCTCACAACCACACTTAGAGATTTATGGGCTCACTCTTCTGTTCTCATCCATTGCTTAATATAAATTAAGACTATCTTTTAGGGTGGTTTGGTAATATAAATAATAACTTTTGCCCAAGGAATTCCAATTTAGAAAAGTTATCTTATAAAATAATAAAAGGTATACACAGAAATTCAGCCATAGTATGTTCATAACAGCATTGTTTCTAATGGCAGTCATCCGTAAACAACCTAATAGGATGATAAATAAATACATGTTGACATACACATGTGATGCAAGACCATGTAGCCATTAAAAAAAATGTTGCAGAAATACACTTTTTGAAATAAAAAAATATTCAAGAAATGCTGTTAGGTAGAAGGGAGATCTATATCTATATCTAAATCTATACCTATCTCCCCGTCTCAAGCTGTCACCCTGAGTAGAGTGCCAGGGCATCACAGCTCACAGCTACCTCAAACTCTAGGGCTTCAGTGATTCTCTTGCCTCCGCCTCCCAAGTAGCTGGGACTACAGGTGTCCACCACAATGCCCAGCTATTTTTTCTGTTTTAGTTGTCACTGTTGGTTTTTAGCTGGCCCGGGCCGGGTGTATATGGCCAGTGCCCTACCCACTGAGCTACAGGCACCGCCTGATCTGTACTTGTAAGACAAATGGATATGTTTGGGATGAAGCATTCTAAAATGTTAACACGAATTATCTCTATAAGTTGTCATAATGCTTCTTTATTCCTCGTGTTTTCTATCTTTTCTGCAAAAATTTTACATAGGTATTTTTAATGCTTTTAATAAACAATCCTTCCTTAATATTCCATCATAAACTTGTATTAACAGGTGTTTTGCATAAGCCTGTTAACATTTTCAATACTTATGGAGCACAATTCCATCTTTCCTGTGACCCTTCTAATTTGACAGCTGCCAATCAAGCCAACTTGATCCATCACAAAACATTCCAGAAGATGAGTCAGGGTTCAACAAGCTTCCCCCAAATTTCCATACTCTTGAGTAGATAAGAATGAAACAGTCTGGCTGGGAATTCATTTCTCCGCACCCACTATGGCAGAAGAGACCAGCACAGAAATATTTCAAGCTTACTGGAAGCAGCAGACACAGCAAGAACAGCTTTTATTCCCAAATATTATTCAGAACATTTGAAAAGCATAAACTGTTTCCATGTGTTTTTTCTTCCTATATCTGTTCTCTTTCTGTTGCATTTCCCATTTAGTTTCTTAGAGCTAAATTTCTTCTTATTCCTCACTTAACATTCACTCAGTAAATATTTATTGAGGATTTCTAAGTTCTCCATACTTGTCAGTTATATTGAACTGTTACCCCTTCCTATTTTTCCTCCTAACTTTAGACATATTGAATGCAATCTCTTTAACTGAGTTGCTTGCCTTGCTTGGGCAGAAAACCAGCTCCTGACGGATGTGACAGTGCTCCCAGGAGCATGCCACTCTGGATGGACAGCTCCATGAGGGAAGGATAAATGGTATGGGTTTTGTTCACTACTGAGTACGCAGAGCCTAGCTGAATAGTGGTAAACATGACTTGTTTTCATCAATAGCCAATTTTTTTTTTCTGCACACACAGAAAACTCCACATTCGTCCCCTTGCCATGGGCCACAGGACTAGGTCCAGCCCATAGATTGAGGAGTGTCACATTCAGAGGGAAGTACACATATCTGAGAGTGGTTCTGGATAGCTCTTGCTCTATTGTGGTGAATCTTGCAGAGGTCTTGTGTTAAGATGGTGAGCTTACTCAAGTAGAAGAGTCTAGGTTGCCACACAGAGGAGAGTTAGCCTGTAAACATGTGCCATACTTGCAGTAAGTGAGGGAAGTATACTTTTGCTGGTTTAAGCCACTGAGATTTGGGG